ATCGTCAGACCCCCGACGTGAGCGAGATCCGGCGCTTCCATCTGGTCGATCAAGTCGGCCCGCTCGACAAATTCCTCGTCGGTTTGACCCAGAGCCTCGGCGCGCACATTGGGAGTCATCGCTGCGAGCCCCACGACGAAGTCGAGCACGCGCCGGAACGACCCGACGACCGACGTGAGCGCGCCCTTCCGCGAGAGCCAGCGGACCGTGTGACGCTTCTTGATCGTCCCAGACTCGTCGTTGACCTCCTGGATCTTGGCATCCTTCCGCTTCGACGAGAACGCGAAGATCCGACGGATGGCGCGGAGCGTCTTCTCGACGACGCTCGCATGCGACGTGAGCGCGGCGAACTCATTCGCCGCGAGTGCAAGTCTGTGGCAGATGCAGTGAGCGCACGAGGCCTCGCCGTTCTTCACGAAGAAGACGCAGATGCCCGCGTTCTGGGAGTCGCTCACGTCCGTCGACTCGTCGATGCTTGCGGCGCACCAGTCCGACTCCGCGAGCTCCTCCGGGAACTGCCTTTGAGCACGCGCTTGAGCTTCGTGAACATGTCTTCGCATCTTGCTTGAGCCGCTGCGTCGCCTCGACCTCCGTCGTCGCGCCGAGGCCCTTCGCGGCCCGCTCAAGCAATGCGACGAGCGACGGCATGTTCGTCGCGGCGCTCCCCTTGCGCCCGAGCCAGCAGGCGGCCGCGACGTGGGGCCGCCCGCGCCGAATCTGCTCCTCCTCCTTCGCCCGCGCGTGTTCTCCTTCGCGCGCTCCGCCTCGAAGACAGACGCCGCGTCTTCACGCTCCTTGACGGCGCGAACCGAATTCTTGTGCTCCTTCGAGCCGTCATGACGAGAGAGCACTCTAGCATCCATCGTCGACCCATGTCTTCTTGGCGTGGTCCGAGAGATCCGTCATGCAGATCTCGCAGCGCATCTTCAAACGTGGCGGCGCGTAGACCATGCAGGCCCAGGGAAGTCCCGTTTCCAGGATTTAACAGGTTGATGACCCGGTCGCGCTCGAGCTCGGGCAACGGAGGCTCCTCTGCGTCGCCGCGCGTCAGGTTGACCGTCGACTCGTCGTCTGCCGCGCCCGTGCCCGAGGCCTTGGCGGCCTTCTTGTCGCACCGCGCGAGCGACTTTTTCAGCGCACTGACATTGCTGCACTTGCC